AGATAGGAACATGATAACCTATTTTTTTCCAAAACAAAAGACAGTGTTATTTGCTTTAATATTTGGGTTAAAAAAGAACACAATAGAATTACTATACTGGAAACCTACATTGCTTGTGTATGGTCACAGACACACTAGGGTAAAAGGCTTTATCTATAGTGATCTCTAGAGTGCTATGTAACAGGTTTTCAATTCAAGAGCCAGGAACTTCAAACGGGCTCATTTCTTTCTCAGGTTGCAACCACCTCATCTTTACCACAATGCAATGGCTACCAACATTTCTACACACCTGCTTTACTAACTTCCTTAACCTTGTCTGTCTCTCTTCCAAATTTCCATGAAATCTACCTTTAAAAAACTGATCAAGAGGAGCCACTGATCAAAAGGAAAAGCAGACAGGGGCCAGGGGGTCACTATCTCAGCTCTACCATCAATGAACTGGGGAAGTTATATAATGTTTCTGTGCCTTAGTTTCTTCTTCTAGATAGGAAATTAACATTCATTGACATTGTACTCTGAACCAGTCACGGTAAGCCTAGAAGAAGTAATTCAAAGTTGAAATCTGTGATTTCATAACTACTTAAGTGATTCCAATGTTTTTAACTTTCATTAGTTTACATCCTTAAAGTATGGGGTATGCAAGCAGACTTAGCTATCAGCATTAAAGGTTTGGACCACATCCTAGCCAAAGTCTCATCTGTGGACCAGCAGCATTCGCATTGTCTAGGAGCCTGGTAGAAATGCAGAGTCTCAGGCCTCACCCCAGAACTGCTCAATCAGAATCTGCCATTTAATCGGATTCTCAGCTGCAGACACATTAAAGTTTGGAAGTGGTAAACTAGATAGGTAACAAAATCCGATTAAACAAACGGAGGTGTACACAGTGCAGAGAGTCTGGCATTAGACCCCTGGATTCAAGGTCAAGCTCTACTACTTATAGCTTGTGCAATCTTTAAAGAGAGAGTTTCCAAAATTAGAGGTCACTTTCCTGTGTCTTAGTTCCTTCATCTGTAACAAGGTGGTAAAACAGAAGTTACCTCATGGAAAAGGTTTTTATAAGAGTTGCAAAGTACCCCATATAAGCAATTAAAACAGTGCCTGGAGCACAAGAAGCTCATTCAATCATTAAATAAACATTTCTGCTATACCTATAGCGTGTCTCAGATGCATGCTGGGAGCTGTGAATGAAGCAGTAAACAAAACTAAGTCCCTACTTGTGTAAAGCTTACATTCTAGTGAGTGACTGTGGCCACACAAAACAAATGTTCAACAGATGTCATGTAGGGATATATTCTATGAAATAAAGAGAATGACAGCACAGCTAGTGTACACAGGAAGTCCTGCAAATATCTTCAAAGGAAAAAACAATGAGTAGACACCTAAATTAGTCATATTTGATTAGTATCCAGGGCTAAGTTCCAGGCACAGTGCTAAGCATTTTATATATTTATGTTTCTAGGATCTTTCAGTCTCACCCTTTCACCAGAAGAATGGAGAATTTGCTTGAATGATGTTCAATAGACAATTGTACATTTGAGGTGAAAGTTTCATGGGGGGATTTTTGCCTCTATCATCCAGTTATTGCAACAATCTTATTTTTTTACTCCAATTTGGATACTTAAAACTTATTAATACTCTTTAGTCTGACTCAGAGAACCTCCTGGAATTACCAACTCTAGCACTGCAGGTGACAGATCTGGATATTCAACAACATAATCTTTGCATCTATGTATCAGTTAGAACTTTTGGACAGTAACACGGCCATGTCCATATGAGTTGCCTTTCGACCTAGGAAACTAAAAGATTCCACACATAGAGTCTTGTTATAAAAATAGATATGTTTAACTTAGTAACTTGGCTACATTCCAATTTAAAATTTTATCTATGAATGGCAATCTGTGGATTTAGCAAATACATTACTTTTCCTTTTGCTACACAATAAACAGACAAAGAAATAATTGTCATGTAGTGTCAGTGGCATGACACAGCTTCTATAGTCCCACATAGATGGGGCATCTTCATAATGGGAAAATGATCTCACACTTGAAAGTGCTTGGATATAAAAGGTACCATATAAAGAGGATGTTATTATTCTTAGTTATAATACCCTAAAAAAAAAAAAACGATTTGCTATCTAAATGGCTGTTGAAACTTAACTGCAGAATTGCTTATAATGCTACAATCAGTTGAGGCCAAATTCAATAAAAACTCCATCCGGCATTCATACTGAGAAGACCCACATGTGCCTTTAATTTTTTTTTTTAATTTCCTGGGCTTCCGGCCCAGAAATTGGATGGAAATTTTATTTAAACCTGCTCTTGTGTATCAACTTTTGGTAAATGTCAGGTTTTCAGTTGACTCACATTATGCTTTACATTTTGAGCAAAGGGAGAAAATAAAATGTTGCATATCTCTCTAAATATATATTTATACACCCCTTACCTGTTCTGACTAGGAAACCATGGCTCACACTAAATGTTCATCATTACTCCTACAAATTTAGGATGTTCCCCCTTCTGCTGCAACCATAGATTAGAAATTCCATTAAATCTCTTTCCAGCACTAATCAGTTTTCACCCGCACAGACAATGTAATCTGAGTTTGGAAATGACTAATAATTTGGAGAGGGTGGTGTGGGGTTGAAGTTTAGATTTCTCTTTAATTTAAAGGAGCTTCTCTCTTGTCTTCCTCCTGTCATTTTGCTGCCTGGGGCCAGCTCCCCTTCCCTGATGAAAATGCTCGTTCCCTTCCCATTAGACAGGATATATATGTACATATTAGAAAGAAAATGCATTATGAGACATTAACTTGAAAATATTAACAGAAGAGGCAGTCCTGTGATGGATGTAGGCATGGCAGTAATTGCACCTGCTAGTTGCAAGGCATGAGCATAATTTGCATGTAAAGTTTTCTCAGTTCCTTCCAGAACACACCAGTTCTACTCAATAAAACATTTTGTCACACTCAGGAGGGTTGCCAACGTGTTCCCAGATTGCAAGCAAAAGATTATTTACAGTAACCAGTAATAACTGAAATGGCCATAAACAACCTTTCCATACCTGCTCTATTTTTTTCTTTTACTAAGTAGAGAAACTAAGGAGCCCAAATTTACTACAATTTAATTCTGATGGGAAAAAGCACATTATTTTTATTTATAGTAGTGTACTCTATCTATCTTTGCCTCCCACCTTTAAAAACATAAATAAAACCCACTTATTATTTTATTTTTAAAATCCAGCCATTACTCTATGGGGAACAATTTCCAGATAAAGTGAGAGACTAGGCAAAAATGACCGACATAAGAGGAAGTTACCCAGTGCATCCCAGGACCCTTCTGTGTCTCCTGGGGAAAGAGCATCACTGTGGAAATAGTTCTCGGGGAAACGCTTGCCTTGTCCCAGCCTTTAGAGAAGTATCTTTCTGCCAGCAAGGTTTGGGGCCCTGCATGTGGTGTTTAATATAGTGAGCAGTGCGCAGCATCTTACTGACCTGGGTTCTGCCTCTTGTCTTTAAAACCCCTTTAAGGAAAGTTTCTCCTATAATTCAAATTCTATGCTGAATTGCATGGGACTAGGCAGGAACACTTATTTCCAGGGGGGCTGTGGGGTGAGTAGGGGGAAGTAAGAACAATACGAAGTAATCAAAACAGCCATTTCACTTAAACACCTTCAGGTTCCCTTTGCCCAGGATGTGCCCTTGATGAGGGGTTTTCTCTCTCTGACAGCAGGAATCACAGGGAGAGAAAAGAAGACATGGTAGTAAACCCTTAAGTCTAATTAAACAGACACAACTTGGTATTTTACTATAAAGGCAAACTAAACTTCTGATAAATTTTAAAAACAATGTCAAGGAATTATTAAATTCACCTCCAATTTCGGTCTTCTGGGAAAGTATTGTCAACAGGATCCTAGGATGTCTAATTGTGAATGCACAAATATGCATACATAAGCAGAAAAGCTGTAAATACTTTTTCTGTAGCAACTTTTTTCTCTTGACAATGGTGCCAATTTTAATTTTAAAGCGGATAAATAAGAAGGGTTCCCAATGTACTAGATACCGTACAGCGCAATTTGAGTGAATTAGTGAATTCAGTTTGAGTGAATTAATTCAAGACCTCCTCTTGAAGGTCATTTTACACCAATACTAGATGGACCTCCCTCTCTGTAGCTGCTGCTTTATATTACACTGTAATGTCTCCACTGTATTTTAATTATCCACTCTCCTTAGAATGCACAGGTAGGTTGTTTCCAATTGAAGTCAAGACTAGCTTAGCTGTTCAGACCAAAGGTTTAGGACTTCCACAAGCTTTCAAGTCTAGGTTCTTCAACCAACCACCTATTCAGTCAAATAAAGGTAAGAACTACCTCAAACGTCCTTGTACAACTGCGATTATTCCTCTAACTCATTGTGGCCTTAGGCAAATTAATTTCCTCCTCACTAAATCAGGATACAGTAATGGAACCAGGGTTGCTCTGGGGACTCCATGAACCAATTCACTCAAATCGCGCAGTACAGTACCTGGTACATAGGGAACCCTTATTATTTATCCGCTTTAAAATTAAAATTGGCAGCCTCTGCGCACTTGTGCGAGCACGGCTGAAGGAGGCTTTTCCAGAGGGGAAACTCCTACCTGCGGGCCGCTGTGGCCCCGGCTCCGGCGCCGCGGGCCCGCCGGCCCCGAGCCCCTCGCGTCGCCGCCCGGGGCCCTGCGGAGGCGGACGCACGTGGGCGCACGCGGCCGGGCGCACGGCGGCACGGGGCCCGGTCCGGCGCGGAGGCGCGAGGGCCGCCGCCGGCACGAGGCGCGGGACCCCGTTGGCTGCTCCGCCGCGCTCCCCGCCCCTCCTCCCGCCCCGTCTCCCCTCCCTCCGGGGCGGGCGCCGGAGCTGGATCCCGAGCTGCTGAGGCGCGGGCAGCGCTCTCTCGGCGCCGGCAGCGGCCACAGCAGCCTGGCGCGCAGCAGCGGCGGCGGGCGGGCGGGCGCCGCGGGCTCGGCCAGGACCCGCGCGGACCGGGGCGCTGTGGCGCAGGCTCGTGCGGGCGCGCACGGCGGCTCCCCAGGACCCGGCCAGCAGGACTGTCTGGCCCGTGGAGCTGGCGCCCGGTGAGCGGCGGGGACGAGGTAGGTCGGGGGTGCCCGGCTCCTGGCGCCGGCGCGGGGCTTGGTGATGGGCCACCTACCGGGGCAAACTTGACGCACTGGCTTCACGGCTGCTCATCCCCAAAGTTTGTTTCGGGGAATGCACCCAACGAGTCAAGGATGAAAAATGCTTCTCTCAGCCGATTTGCTTTGGGGAGTTTTTTTGTTTTTGTTTTTTTTTTGTTGCCTCCCTCCCCCTGCTCCCTTATAGGATTAGTTTCTGGGATGGGAAGACTCCACATGCCCAGGGCAAGCGTGGGGAAATGTGAGGTGGGTCACTCTGGTTTGCCCTTAACGCAGCGGATTTGGCCAATGAAAGTTGAAAAAAAAAAAGTTGTGAAGCGTAGGGAAGCTGAGGAAGAATGCTATATCCATGGTGCAGGGGGTGGAAATGTGCTAGTTTTTTTTTTTTGACAGAAACGCCTTACTAGTCCCCAGCTCTGAAGGAAGCCAGAGTGGAGGACGATCAGCGATCAAGTTTTCTGAGTGACATTTTCTTTACATTTTAAAATCTGCAGCCTTGGATGGAATCCCCCCCCTATCGTTTCTATTTGCCAGGTTTTCTCTGACCGGCTATAGTCTAGGTTTCTTGAGCTTGAACCCTGGTCTTGGCTGCTTCTCCGTTCACTAAGGAGCCCTGGGAAGCAAAGCAAGCAGGTAACAATATAAGGACCGGCAACCAGGAAATGCCAGCTGGGCACCCCAGGTCCACAGCATCTACAGTTACTGTAAGGGTTGCTTGAAATGAATGAATAGCTTCTGGGCTCTGCTTCTGCAGAGCTCCGCACGGCTTGCCAATCCGTTTGCCCTTCCTTGTATTGCATTTGCTTATTGATGTACAACAAGGAGATGCGCCCAGAGGAATGATTTAATAATAATCGGTGACCGCGGTGGTGAGTGGAGCAAATCTGCGATCTGAGCCAAAGGGAGGGGTACCGACAGAGCTCTGAGAGAGGGATGGCGAGTCTCAAATCAAGACGTGGGGAAACAGCTAGAGGAAGCAACAGACAGGAGGTGCATGGTGTGCAGGAGGGAGGTCAGGAAACCCAGCTCATATGCTGAGTAGGGAAACCCAGAAGTAATTTTTAAATGATTAAGCAAAAATAACTAAAAATAAAAAAATAGAAAGACTATATGTGCTGTGGTTTCTCTCTACCCCCACAGAGATGAATGTCACACTAGCTGAAAAAGAATCCTGATCTGTAAATAGATTAAAAACAGGAATTAATCAGAACAATGAGTCAGAGCCCTTCAGAGATTGAAAGGAGTAATTGCCTTTGAAAGAGCTATTATGTCTCAATATCAAAGTCAAATGTGTTAGTTTTGCTGTGCAAGCTGTGTTTACCAACAGTAACATGACTTTGGCTGCAACAGCCTGGCATCTGAGTTTGTGTTTTTAACCCTTTGAGGGTCATGGTACTAGGGAGGAAGGTATCTTCAGGTTAATATCCATATGCATTTGAGCATCATTTGCAAAATGCCTAATATATCCCAGTCACTGGTTGCAGTGGATAGGTTCTTGTAAATGTTGTTTGTAGAAGACAGTGATAAGGTTCACCTTTGCTGATGGAAATACGTTTGCTTGTACATTATAAAAATGATTCAGAAATTAATGGTCTTTGGATGCTTGCTTGAAGTCACTTGAGAGTCAACATGTGGTTTGAGGAACCCCAAAACGATTAGTATCCACCGGGAAATAGAAAGAATTGCTATAGATTTTTAAAAGATAATTGGGGAGGTTTGAACGCATATGCATGGTCCTTCTGTCTGAAGATGGGTAACTGGGGCATGGTGTGGCTAATTGATTTGCAGGGTGATAGATTCAGGCAGTAGCCGCCTCAGTTGATAACATTCAGCCCTATGTCCTACTCACTATTTGGATGTCATTGATGTCAGCCTGAAGACATGAAGTTCATTTCTTCAGGAGAACTCTAACTTTTAATATCCTTCACAACACTACCAGAGAGCCCAACTATTCCTTAAAATGGCAGCAAAACATTTAAACGGACCAAAGTGCTGAGCAGTTTCAATTGGAGCAAAGATTAGCTGAGGACAACAAGCTGTAGCCTTTCAACAATAAGCTGTAGCCTTTCCGTTGCTGATTTATGTTCAGTTTTATCACTGGCACATTTCATATATGCCTAGTTATTACAAACGAATAGCCTGTTCACTCTGCTAGCAAAAATATATTTCTGTTATATAAGTTCCAACTCCTCACACACTTAGTGCACATCTTCCAGCTTTGTTTTTACTGCATACTTTAAGTCTCCAACTTGAAGTTCTCCATAAGTCTTGATATGCTTTGTGCTGAGAAATAGTATGTAGATCTAATTGGCCCTTTCAAACTGCAAGACCTATATAATCACTATATTGTGGAAATACCACCAAACAGAAAAGCATGGGATTGGTGAAATGTTCTTTTTTCCAATCAACATTAGTAAGTTATTAGCAGTAAAATAATGTCGACTATATACATTGGGAGATACTCAGTTGGCGGGAGGATTTGTTGATTCTATGTGTGTTTGCTTGCTTTTCTGATACAGTCATCATCACCAGTTGACCTTTAAGCCTTTTGATCTAAGGGACTTTGTTTCTTTGAATTTGAGCATCTCTCAAGCACTCCCATGCCTTTAATATGCATTTATTAGTCATTTAACGCTAGTGGACAGTTCCTTTCTTACGCTTGGCAGTACTGCACTAGATAATACACTTATTGCAGAGATATTTGTCTATAATTAGAGTGTGGGACCACAGAATAGTTTAAGATAGAACATTTCTTTGAACTTGAGGAGTAAGACATCTAGGTCTCATCTAATTTGTGTAAAAATTTCAGAAATGCATCAAGGGTACTAAGTGGGTTCTGGTCTGTGGCTCCCAACCCCCAATTTGTCTACAAAACACAGTGGACCATATCTTTTGAAAATGTGCTGCAGGAGGAATTCACTCCCTGGTTGAAACTTTTTATGCCAAGTTTCAATCCATAGTAGGTTTTTATTTCTCCTCTTTTATGTACAAGTTATAAACAAGAAATAAGGGTTTGTAATAGAAGTGCTAGCAGAACTTTATAGCATCTCAAACAGCTCTGCTACTTGGAATGTAAATATTTGTAGAATCTTTACTGTGCAAGAAGCTGCCTTGCAAAAAGTGAGAAAAAAATGACTATTTTATTAAGTAGGCTAAAATAATTCACAAGATATCCATATTCCTTATTGCAGACATATTGGCATTTTAAGAAATAGGTTATGTATGTTACAGCAATTTCGAAGCACTCTCTTAGGTGCCTTTATAACTCAGATTGTAAATTTTCTGTGTTCTAACACAGGATAAAAATCTGTCCCATTTGTTTTTCTAACTTGCTTGGCTTTGATTGCCTTTCAAATGCTAAGAGATGAGATCTGTAATTCAAAAATTTCAAAAACCGCTTTGATTATATTGCTCATAAATGAGCCTGTCACATACTATTTTTAATAAGATAAAAAATTCTTGGTACCATTACAGTGCTTTCAATATTCTTGTTTTGGGAACCTAGTACAACTCAGATCTCATGTGCCCTTTTTATTCTCACTCTAAAATAGTTCTCAAATTTGCCTACTTCCCTCCATCTCCACTGACATCATCCTATTCCAGGTCACCGTTTGGGAAAACTGCACTGTCTCCCCTGCCTTCTTTCCTGCCTCCTCCCTCAAATCATTCTCTGCACAACAGTCAGGGTGCTATTTTTTAAATGTAAGTTAACTTATTACTCCTCTCCACAAAGCAGTTAAGTGGCTTTCTGTCGCATGCAGAATATTCACTATTTTCTGCAAAGCCCTGTGTCCCTCCAAAATTATCTTATGACATGCTTTGGGAGCAAGAGCTTCATAGGCTTTCTGTTATGCCTGCAGTTTTGTTGGCCTCTTTTCTACCTTAGGGTTGATTCTGTCCCTTTGCCTTTTAGTGCCCTCCAGGATTTACCCCTAAACACATGTGCAGACACACGTGCATGTGCATGCGCACACACACACACACACACACACACAAATAGGCATTTTGACTACTGCTCACCCCTTTGGTCACAATTTAAATATTATTTGCTAACAAAGGTCTTTCTAATTTCCCTTGTCTAAATTAGGGCACCTGTGTTAAGCTTTTTCTGTTCATATCCCTATGGCACTTATCACAACTTAGAACTCTTTCCTTATTTAATTCTTATTTAGTCTTCTTTAAGCATTTTGTAAGAAGTTATCATATCTGCTTTACTTACCATTGTAAAGCAGCTCCTATCACAGTACCTGGCCCACAGTGGAGTTTGGTAAAGCCATAAAAACTATACTTTTTGTGAGTTCTGCGTTTGCAGTGTGCTACTGGAGCACTCCTGTGACCAAGGATCCTGTCCGGAAGGTCCATATTTAGAAGTCTGTAGCTGACTTTCACAGCATTCCCTGTGTCACTTTACTCATGATCTGGTATGTCTCTCAGATACCTGCTCCTTCAGACTCACTGTGTCAAAATGAGATTCATCATTTTTCTCCCAAGCGGATTCCAACCTAAGTGATCACATCTTTCTTTAACTTTCATCCTGATTCTCAAAGCGTGTGGCATCAGTGATGTCTGGCACCACCCACCTCCTCTGTCCGTGTAGCTTAGTCAACTGATGAAAAATACAAGAACATCCATTTAGGTTACTATGCATAAGCCTGGGGACTAAGCACTTTACTCTCTTTACACTTCTTACCTAAATGCAACAGATTAAGAAACAACCTCCCTCCCCCTTACCTTTCTTATTCCTGTCTTCCCAGCATGTGGTGCCCTATTAATCCATGAGCGGACACCTTGTGTCATGGGACTCCCACTCCCTAGAGAAAAAAATGCTACTGCTGCAGCCTTGTCTGTGTGGAATTTCTTCTGCTTAGTTCTCCACCTACCATACTTGATGTTCCAATTACAGGGGTTTTCTTTAACTTTTGAAAACTCAATATGACACTTCTGGTTTCAGGGTCCTC